TTATTTACTGACCACACAGACCCATTCTCTCACATGTGGGCCTACCAGCTTTCTCCTGCTTGATATGAAGCCGCTAGAATTTTGGAGTACAGTGGACCCTCGGCTAACGAACGCATCACGTAACGTTAAATCTGCCCAACGAAGGATTTGAGCGTAAAAATTTTGGCCTGGCTAACGATAAAAAACTCGCCCAATGTGATTTGTCCCAAACCTGTCCGTCCAGCCTGAGCGCCTCAGCTGTCCTGCCATCGTTGTTTACAGGCCGGTTTCATGCATACGTTAGATACATTTTGTATTATTCCATTGTTTATAGTGCTTGTACCTGCTAAATAAGCCACCATGAGTCCAAAGAAAGCTTCTGGTTCCAACCCTGTGGTAAAAAGGGTGAGAAATACTATTGTGCCACAGTCGGCTGCTACTGCACCACCGTCAGCTGTTGCTGCACTACCGTCAGCTGTACTACTCGAACATGTGGAGAGACTATTGTTGGTGTGGTTTAATGAGAAACAACCCCAGAGGGTTAGCCACCCGGGATAACCCAAGAAAGTCAGTGAGTCATCGAGGACTGTCTAACTTATTTCCATTGGGGTCCTTAATCTTGTCTCCCCTCCCCCCAGATGTGACCCACACCAGTCAACTAACACCCAGGTGAACAGGAAAAAATGCCTGAAACTAGTGCTCATATTGGTGAATTTAAGGCCAGCAAAGGTTGGTTTGAGAGATTAACCCTTTGAGGGTTTTGGTCGTACTAGTACGTCTTACGCGTAGGGGTTTTTGACGTACTAGTACTCATAAATTCTAGCGGCCTCAAATCTAGTGGGAGAAAGCTGGTAGGCCTTCATATGAAAGAATGGGTCTATGTGGTCAGTGTGCACAGTCTAAAAAAAATCCTGCAGCACACAGTGCATAATGAGAAAAAAAAACTTTGACCATTTTTTTTTAATAAATCAGCGACTTTGCAGTGTATTTTCGTATGGTATTTATTGTTGTATTCTAGTTTTCTTGGTCTCATTTTATAGAATGGAAGACATATCACAGAAATTGAGATGATTTTGACTGGTTTTACAATGAAAGGTGCCTTGAAATTGAGCTCAAAGTAGCAGAAATGTTCGATTTTTACCAAACTTCAAAAGTAAACAAATCGTGCCAAGCGTGCAATACACGTCAACTGGTGAGTCTAATATTCTTTCACAAGTGCACCAATAATATTTATACCATTTTTTACACTAATGCAGTAGTCTGCATAACAGTAAATCTTATATTTTTTGTGAAAATAAAAATTCAAAGTGGAAAGCAAAAGAATATAAGAGGGGCCTTGAGACGTGACTAATGACTAGAGGAAATGTCATTTTAGTGCCAGGAATGTCTTTCTTGTTTATTCTGGACCCTATTCGGAAATTGGCATCTTTTGAAATTTGTGTGAAATTGGCAAAATTGCTAAATTCTGACCACTGTACTGGATAGTTGAATTTCATAAATGGGTGGTTTCTTGCACCCATTCGATAGAAAAAATGGAGTTCTAGCGAAATATTCATGTTTTTTGTCGACTAGTACAGTGAAATTGGCCGAAAATGGGGCTCAAAGTGGGCAAAATCGCCGATGCGTAAACATCGCCGAGACCGCTAACTTTGCGAGAGCATAATTCCATAAGTTTTCTATCAAATTTCAAACTTTTGGTGTCTTTATGATCGGGCAGAGATTCTCTATCTTTTCATAAGAGAAAATAATTTTTTTTTTTTTTTAAATTTGGCCGACCCTGAGAACGAGTTTCGGAGAGGGCCTGTCGACCCTCAAAGGGTTAAAGAATCGTAGTGGCATACACAGTAGGATAAGGCATGCGAAGCTGAAAAATTCCAACCCCAGCAAGTCTTCAATTGTGATGAAATAGGCCTGTTCTGGAAGAAAATGCCAAACAGGACCTACATTACTCAGGAGGAAAAGGCACTCCCAGGACACAAGCCTATGAAAGACAGGCTAACTTTCTTGTTTTGTTGTAATGCTAGTGGGGATTGCCAAGTGAAGCCTTTACTCATGTATCACTCTGAAAATCCCAGAGTGTTCAAGAAAAACAGTGTCTCATCACTCATCAGTACTCTTCAATAAAGGTAAGTATCATTTTAACGTTTATTTATATAGTTATTGTGCATGTCTCATGGTTTTCTTTGTAGGGAAATGTATATTTCATGAAAAAAAATTTTTTTTTTTAATATTTTTGGCTGTCTGGAACGGATTAATTGGATTTCCATTATTTCTTATGGGGAAAATTAATTCGGCTAACGATAATTTTGTCTAATGATGAGCTCTCAGGAACGGATTAATATCGTTAGCCGAGGGTCCAATGTATAAATACGTCAAAAACACTGGCTCATAAGATGTATATTATACGTCAGAAATAGTCAAAGGGTTAAATAAAAGCACTAACCACTCCAGAACTATATCCCCACCTACTTTTAACATTTCTATTTTTATCCCATCAATCCCAGCTGCCTTACCTCCTTTCGTTCTACCCACTGCCTCATGAACTTTCCCCATACTTGCAACTCGCTCCTCCTCACTCCTACCAGATGTTATTTCTCCTTGCCTTGTACACGAAATCACAGTGTCCCTATCTTCATCAACATTTAACAGTTCCTCAGAATATTCCCTCCATCTTCCTAATACCTCTAACTCTACATTTAATAACTTTCCTACTTTTAATTGTCAAATCCATTAGTTCCCTAGGCTTCCTCAACTTATTAATCTCACTCCAAACTTTTTCTTATTCTCAACAAAAATAATATATGAAAAATATTCAACTGGAGCCATTTAATTTTGTTAATTATGCTTGCTATTTTTAAATTTTTATTTTAAACATGCAATGTTAGCCTATTCATACAGTAAATTTTATTACACCTAAAATTTGCAAAGAATTCAATCAAAGGTGTTATTAAGTGCAGTTTCTTCTTGTTCCAGGAGGAGACTGCACATCTTGAGATTAACGTTGAGGGGAGGAACGAGGGAGGGGTAGAGGATGAACACTTAGTGAGAGGAGAGGGAAAACGACCAATTAAGCTAAAGTATTCTCACCAAGATTATCAGGTTATGAGACCCAAGCGACGTACACGTATAAGGAATCTTGACACTCGGGTGTACCTAGATAAACCACTATCATGCTCAGAATGTGGGGAACTATTTAATAATGAGCCATTGTATAAAATTCATTGTGTTAAAGCTCATGTAGAGCTCAGTGGTGTAAAATGTCCGCACTGCCCACTTGTGTTCGACAAAAAATACGATCTTGACTCACACCTTATTAATCACACCCCTATTAACCATGCCTGTGATAACTGTGCTGTTGGGTTCCCTACAGCAACACAATTAGTTAAACATTTGAAGGAATTTCATCCAGATACTGCTAATACATGTCCACGCTGTAATGCTACATTTATAAATGAAGAACAGCTACAATTTCACATGGAACAGAAGCATAAAAGAGGTAAAAGAAAAATGCTTAGCATTTGCCAAAGTGAAGTGCCACCTAACAGTGTTATATGTAAGGAGTGTGGTAAATTATGTAAAAATATGATAGCTTATCAAACTCACAAATACAATGAGCACATCCACTTGTTTCCTCATGAATGTAAGATCTGTTGTCGAAGGTTCACTAAATTAATATTTCTGGAGAGTCATTTAAAAACACACACTGATGGGTCATTTGAGTGTAAGAGATGTGGTGTTAAGTTTGGAACAGAATCTCATCTTGTTGATCACATGTATTATGTCCATGGGCAGAAGAAAGTTTTAATGTGTGATGAGTGTAATCGTTTCTTCAGCAGTCCAACTTCCTTAAAGACCCATAAGGAAATGGAACATAGAGAGAATTTGGACTGTACTGAGACTTGTAAAATTTGTGGAGAAAAATACCCTTCTAAGTTGGGCCTTAAGCGACATATGTTTACACACATCAGGGCTTACCAGTGTAGTTTTTGTTTAAGAAAATTAAGCTCTAAAGCCTCATTAGACATTCATATCAATATGGTTCATACTAAAGAGAATTCATTTCTGTGCCCTCACTGTAGTAAGGAGTTCTTTGCTAAACATTTACTTCAGATGCACATTAAACGGGTTCATAGCGATCGTAGTGACTACCAGTACCAGTGTAAGTTGTGTGGCAAAGTGTATCTCCAGGAGTGGGAACTGAAGCTACATCACAAGACACACACCAATGAACGAAACTTTAAGTGTGATGTTTGTGGTGAAGCTTTTTATACCCTGTCTCGCATGAGGTATCACAGAGCCACACATAAAACTACCCGTGATTCAGAATGCCCATTGTGTCCTCAAATGTTTAGAAGGGATGTTGACACAAAGAATCACTTAAGGAGGGTTCATAAGGTAGTGCACCCTGGTCAGTTTATGGATCTTTGCTCTCGTTATGGGTTAGAGAGAGCAATGGAGCTTTTGCATATGGAGGTCATAACAAACCAGGACAGTAGAGTTGTGACAGAGAAGGTATCCTATGAGATTAATGAAGGTGGCTCAGAAAATATAACACTTTACCGGGTTGAGGATGAACAGGAGCCACCAGTGCAGGTAATAATACCTGATGGTGTGAAGATGATGGTCCTTGAGAATACAGCCATAAATGTATCTAATACGTCAGAGAATCAGAATGAAAAAGTCACATACGTTTACGAGATGGACGAAGAAAACATTAAGAATGATGAACAGATCATTAGCATTATTAAAGTGGAAAACTATACAGATGAATAATCAGAAGCCTGCACTATGTAATGTTAAGACTAACATTGTATATAAAGGGACAGTTTGAAAAGTCATGATAATTTTCATACAATGACTTGAGTGTTTCTAACTTGCATTGACTGGTACTGTACTGATACTCTTAGTTAAAAACTTTATTTCTGAGAAATACTGGACTTAATTATCACTTACTAGTGTTCACCTTTACTTCACTGTGCATCATAGTGAGTGTACAAAGAACTACAGTATCTCCTTTACAGGAGTTGGATGCTGGCGATTATATTGCTGAAACAGAAGGCAGTAGAGATGAAGCGGCTCAGGAAAATCGACTTGGCCGGTCGGGAACAATGAAAACAAAGACGTGCATCTACTGCGAGAAAGAAGTTCCTATTATACAGCTAATTAGTCACTTGGATGGTCATGAACAACAACAACATCCATGTCCATTTTGCCAACACTCATTTTCTAGACTTGCTTTGTCTAGACATCTTCAGGAGCGACATCCAGGGTGTTTTATGTCGTGTGATGTATGCTCTTATAAGTTTATTGATTCTCATGTCTTTAACATTCATCAAGTATCCCACAAAACAGGGGAGTATTCCTGTAATGATTGTGGCATTAAATTTGGAACTGCTGATGAACTTTCTAATCATAGAAAGTTAGTTCATATTATAAAAAATGACGAGAAATATTCTTGTCCTGTGTGTGCAAAAACGTATGAACTTAGATCTAAATTTATAACACACATAGTGAAACTTCATAAAGGTCAAGTTCCAGTTGATGGTCTCATATGGGGCAGTAGGGGTTCATTGGTGTGCTGTACCTGCAAGAAAAAGTTCAAAAAAGCTTCCTTATTCCTAGCCCATGAAAAGACCCATTGGAATAATAGATTAATTTGCCAACATTGTAAAAACACTTACCCCTCTCTCACACTGTTGCAAGACCATGTACTCACTCATTATTTTGGTGATTATGTGTGTAATGAATGCTGTATTAAATTTACCTCCCTTCATCAACTAAATATGCATGGAAAGAAAGTACACCGGGTTAAAGTTAGTAATGTTTGTGAATATTGTAACAAAGAATTTAGTGAACAAGTCTATTTAATTTGCCATAGACGTAAAGAACACCCAGAATCTGAAGAGTGCCGCAAAGCCAAGTTCAGTTGTTCAGAATGTGGAATGAAATTCATGGTTAGAGGCAATCTTTCAAAACACCTTCGAATGCACGACAGAGAAAAAGTTGCCAAGCCATGTGCCTGTGATGTGTGTGGCAAAGTGCTCTCAAATAAATATTCACTTGCATCACATCAAAAAACTCATTCACGTGACACATCTTATAAATGCAAAGTTTGTGATAAAGCCTTTGTGTCAAAGTATACCCTCGTAGACCATGTAAGACGAATTCACGAAGAGGTAGGATGTGGTAGGGACAAGGTTTGTAAAGAATGTGGACGTACTTTCTTCACAAATTCAGAGCTCAAGTATCATATAAAAACTCACACTGGTGAAAGGCCTTACAGATGTGATATTTGTGGAGAAACTTACCTGTCTTCATCTTCTTTAAGATATCATATGCAGAAACATTCCAATGTCATGTTTGTTTGTCAGGATTGTCAAGCCAAGTTTAAAAACTATGTAGGGTGGAGTGCACACATGAAGCGCGTACATGGTGTTTCATGTGTAAAGGGCTACACTAAAGAGCATGGCATTTTAAAGGCTGTAATAGAAAAAGAGAATCCATCTCTATATATTGTTGCACAGGGTCATAATAGAGCAGTTGAAGCTGAGAATAAAGCTTCAAAGGAAATACTAATTAAGGATAATTTAAGTTCAGCAGAAGCTGTAGATTTGGAAGAGACTGTTAGCATACCAAAGAAGGACAGTAGCAATATCATTCATGTTTCATATGATGATCTCGCAAACCCTTTGGTACATACTGTTGATGCTAAAGAAGTTGGGTTGGGAAATTCCCAAATTAAGGAAGCACAAAGTTCAAATTCTGCCTTACCTGGAACCTCAGGAGTTGAGGCAAATTGCATTGATTCTGTTACTGAGTCAAATTATTCCCAGACTATAGTCAAGACAAAAGTGATGGTTCCTGAGGGATGGGAAGTGATATTAGCAACAGAGTGTCAAGAATCTCAAGATGTGTCTGAAGAATGGGAAGGGCCTCGAATGGCTGTCTCACAAGTTCCACAGACAAGTGAAGATCAACCAATGGTCTTGAGAAATGAATGGGATGGGGCACAGGGCATGGCACAGCTGGTTATATCAGAGGAAGGGGAGGAAACTCGTATTGTCATGACATCTTGGAAAGATTGTGTAGAATTCTAAGTGGATTCAGATCCAAGACAGTAAGCAGGGCTTGGAAGTTTGAGATCTTCCATTTGGGCTGTTTTCTTTTCCCTCTATTTTATTTATGTATATGACTGTAATTTTTTGTAAATTATGTATATTGTGCAGTAGTGCTGTATAACTTGAAATAAGGACAGGTTGTATGATTAACCCTTTGACTGTCAAAACCCCAAATCCTGAGGTGTCTCCTGGTGTCGCAAAATATTTGAAAAAAAAAAATTGTATAAAATGATAGAGAACCTTTTCCCGATGGTAATGATATCAAAGGTACGAAATTTGATGGAAAACTTAAGGAATTACGCTCTCACGAAGTTAGCAACCTTGGCTGTATTTACAAATCGGCAATTTCGCCCACTTTGAGCCCTATTTTTGTCTAATTCCTTTGTTCCAGTCGACCAAACTCATAACTATTCTTTAGAACTCAATTTGTTCTATCGATTGAGTACAAGAAACTGCCCATTTACTGATTTCAGCTACCCAATAAAGTGGTCAGAAATTGGCAATTTGGCCAATTTCATGCAAATTAAAAAATATGCCAGTTTCAAAATAGGGTCCAAAATGAACAATGCAGACATTCCTGGCTATAAAATAACATTTTCTCTGTTCATCAGTTACATCTCCAGGCCCCTCAGATATTGCTCTTGCTTTGTATTTTGAATTTTTATTCAAACAAAAAATAAAATATTTACTGTTATGCAGACTACTACAATATTGTAATAATTGTATAAATAGCATTAATTCATTCATGACTGCATACTAGAATGGCTATTTGGATATTTATTGGACAATGACATCATTTGTTTACTCTTGAACATTGGCAAAAATCAAACATTTCCCTTACTTTGAACTCCATTTCAAGGTCCTATTCATTTTGAAACCAATCAAAATCACTTCTATTTCTATAATATGTTTTCCATTCTATCAAATGTGACTATGAAAATGAGAATATAACCATAAAAACTACAAAAATGCACCTCAAAGTCAGCGTTTTAATCCAAAAACACATTTGGAGTTTTTTTTCTCATTATGCACTGCATGCTGCAGGATTTTTTTATATGGTGCACACTAACCACACAGACTGATTCTCTCACATGTGGGCCTACCAGCTTTCTCCTGCTTGATTTGAAGCTGCTAGAATTTTTGAGTACAGGTACCATCCAACTTACGACCGAGTTCGGTTCCGACCAACCGGTCGTAAATCGAAATGGGCGTAAGTTGAACCTTACTACTGAATATCAACATCACATTTTTGTAATGACATTATTTTATTGTTTTATTTTGATATTTCATTTTTTACTTTACTTTTTATACTGTTAGTACTGTATTTTATACTGTAAGCTTTAGGATAAACACTGTGTACAACACAAACAGTTGTTTATTTGCCAGAAATTTGGCATAAAAAACACGGTCGTAAGTTGAGTGATCGTGTTTCGAGCAGGTCGCAAGTCGGATGGTAGGTGTATATATATACCACGTCAAACACTGTGGCTCGTAAGACGTATATATACAATCGAAACAGTCAAAAGGTTAAAATAGTCTGCATATGAAGTAATTGTACTTGGTTACTTTTTTATTGCCATTTTGAAACCCTGACTAATGTATTTTGCATCTGAAGACATTAATAAACATTTTCAATGGTTCTCCAAACTTTAACCCTCTGGAAGTTTTAATTATACTAGTGTGTTGCTTTTGTGTAAGCAGGGTTTTATATTTAAACTTAGTTTATATTCAGTATCTAGTATATATTGAGAATACAGTCCCAGTTTTAACCCCTTTCACTATTGTTACCCTGGAAATTAAAAGTGCTGTCAGTGTCTTGGTTTAAAAAAAAAATCTTCTGAAATAGAATCTTTTTCTAGGCATTGGCACCAAAAATGCAGTCTGGGCACAATTTACACAACAGCCGTTTCACTAAAGAATACTTTGCCTATTACATGGCTCAGATTTATCTAATTCTTAGCTTTTTTGCTAGTGCTTTCTGTTCTATTGATTAAGCACATGAAACTCCTCATTCAGCTATCAGAACTATTCTGTAAAGTGAGCAAGTCAGCAGTTTAGCCAATTTTACACAAAATTCAACAGATTCCAATTTAAAATGAAATCAAAATAAGCACTGTAGGCATTCCAGCCAATTAAGCAATATTTCCTTTGTTCATTAATCATGTATCCAGGCCTCTCCTATATAACAATTGCCCTCTATTTTGAATCCATCGTCATACAAGAAATTGAAGCTTTACCCTGTTTTCTCAGCCAGTAGAATATAACTGAGAATGACTGGTTATGATTTAGTCCTTCCAAATAATTGAAGCAGATCTAGTAAAGACTCATAATAAATACTGGGGAGGGGGCCCTACCCTTCCTCAGAAAAATTGCCAAAATCCAATATTTTTGCCACTTTGAAGCCTATTTCAAGCCACTCATGGTCTGAAACAAAAAAATCATCTCCATTTATTATGTCGTCCATTCTATAAGTTGATACAATGAAACAACCAATAAAGCCACAAAAACCACACTAGAACATGCCTTAAAGTTGCTATTTTAAATCTAGCACAGTCAGAGATTAGCTGTTTCCATGTAATGAGTGGGGCAAGTTTTTTTTTTTATGCTGTACACATCTGCCACACAACCACTCTTTCATGTTGAGGGCAGAATTTACTGATCACAGCATAACTGAGGGTGCTATGAAGATGTAGATCTACATAAGTGACATACATGTGTGTATGTGACAGTGAAAGGGTTAATGGCATGACTAGAGGAACACTGCAGCAGGGCTATTGGACTATGCAAGGGAAGTCTTCAGATCAAGCCCTTCTCACTCATATTTATCTATTCTATTGTTAAAGCTACCAAGGGTGTTAGCTTCAGTGACTACTTGGCATATTCTGCAGATCTACAACTGTTGCCAAACTGGTACTTTTTTATATGCTTTCTCAATCTGAAATTATTTAAACTTCTTGGCACCTTCAGTATCACTAGTATTCCCTTTTGATACCTCATTTCATATCCAGACATGAGATGAAGTGAAAAGATTATAAATATAATGATAGCACAGGAACTAGAAATGATAGGGTATACACCCATGAGGCAGTTGGTGCTCGCATTAATTGGGGGGGGGGGGGTAAGTATCACAGTGATGGTAAATCTAGTGTAAAACATTGAAGATTGAAAGTGCATAGGAGGGAATGTATCCTGCCTACACCAGCATGAAAGCTGAACCTTTACAGCGAAAATTAGAAGTATGATACAAAACAAGTGAATTGCAGTGTTAAAAATGCAGTAGTTGGATGCACAAAAGGTAACAGTTTGCTGTATTTGATTTGACATGAAACAATATTTTATATGTATGTAATTAATATGTTAGTCTAACATACCTTCTACCACTAGCTTAGTAAACTGCTACCTCATTAGTAAACCCTTGTTTTAACATACAGTAGTTGTTTATAATTTGTGCAGGTTACATTCCTGAAATCTGCACTGTTAATGGTTTCTGTGACTTGAATGAAAACACATGGGAAAAATAGGGTTGGGTTCATCAGACCTCCATTCCTAAGGCCTGGGAGAAGCCAGTTGTTGACTTCGAGTTTTAGTTTTTGATAATATTACAGTGGAACCTCAAATATCGAACTTATCCATTCCAGGAGCTAGTTCTAAATTCGAAAAATCTGAAAGCGAAGTAATATTTCCCATAAGAAATAATGGAAGTACAATTAATTCGTTCCAGAAACACAAAAATATTTACAAAAAAAATACATTTTATAGAGATTAATTGCAGTTTTACATACACACAACAAATATAGTGTTCAATTATGTATTAATAAATGTAAATAAACATATAAAATAACATTTTTACTTACCTTTATTGAAGATTGGTGATGGCATCTGGAAGATAGGGAGGAGGAGAGAGGGAGTTGGGGTTAGTGTTTGGAAGGTGAATCCCCCTCCATGAGGACTTCCGGTATTAAAGCCCTCTCTGGGGTTACTTCCCTTCTTTGTCTTTAAATGCCACTAGGACAAGCTTGAGAGTTACTGGACCCTGTCTCTGTTTCTGGTGCCTCTTTAACCCTTTGACTGTCGCAGGCCCCTTTCTGAAACTGTCATTCTATGTCGCAAAAGTTTTGGAAAAAAAAATGATTTTTTCTTGTGAAATGATAGAGAATCTTTTCCCGATGGTAATGACACCAAAAGTACGAAATTTAGTCGAAAACTCGCGGAATTACGCTCCTGTGAAGTTAGCGGTCTCGGCGACATGTACGCATCAGCAATTTCGCTGGCTTTGAGCCCTGTTTTTGGCCAGTTCTGTTGCTCCAGTTGACCAAACTCATAGCTATTTCTTTAGAACTCCATTTTTCTATCAGTTGAGTACAAGAAACCGCCCATTTACCGATTTGAACTACCCAATAAAGTGGTCAGAAATTGGCAATTTGGCCAATTTTATGCAAATTAAAAAACATGCCAATTTTATAATAGGGTCCAGAATAAACAATGTAGACATTCTTGGCACTAAAATAACACATCCTCTGTTCATTAGTCATGTCTCTAGGCCCCTCTTATATTACTATTGCTTTCCATTTTGATTTTTTATTCATACAAAAAAAAAAATACAAAATTTACTGTTATGCAGACTAATGCATTATTGTAAAAATGGGATAAATAATATCAGTGCACTAGTGAAAGAATATTAGAATCCCCAGTTGATATGTATTGGACGTGTGGTGTAATCTGCTTACTCCTGAACATTGGTAAAAATCGAGCATTTCTGCTAATTTGAACTCAATTTCAAGGTCGTTTTCATTATGAAAGTAATGAAAATCATCTCTATTTCTGTAATATGTTTTCCATTTTATCACCTGAGACCATGAAAATGAGAATACAACTATAAATACTATACGAAAATTCACCTCAAAGTCGGCGTTTTAATCCAAAAAAATGGTCATTTTTTTTTCCTCATTACGCACTGCGTGCTGCAGGATTTTTTTATGTAGTGCACACTGACCACACAGACCCATTCTCTCACATGTGGGCCTACCAGCTTTCTCCTGCTTGATTTGAAGCCGCTAGAATTTACGCGTATAAATAAGCATGTATGCACCTGGAGAAGGGAGGAATGTAGAGGAGAGAGAGATTTTGGGAGATGTTAAGTGAATGTATAGGAACCTTTGAACCAAGTGAGAGAATAATTGTGGTAGGGGACCTGAATGCTAAAGTAGGAGAAACTTTTAGAGAGGGTGTGGTAGGTAAGTTTGGGGTGCCAGGTGTAAATGATAATGGGAGCCCTTTGATTGAACTTTGTATAGAAAGGGGTTTAGTTATAGGTAATACATATTTTAAGAAAAAGAGGATAAATAAGTATACAAGATATGATGTAGGGCGAAATGACAGTAGTTTGTTGGATTACGTATTGGTAGATAAGACTGTTGAGTAGACTTCAGGATGTACATGTTTATAGAGGGGCCACAGATATATCAGACCACTTTTTAGTTGTAGCTACACTGAGAGTGAAAGGTAGTTGGGATACAAGGAGAATAGAAGCATCAGGGAAGAGAGAGGTGAAGGTTTATAAACTAAAAGAGGAGGCAGTTAGGGTAAGATATAAACAGCTATTGGAGGATAGATGGGCTAATGAGAGCATAGGCAATGGGGTCGAAGAGGTATGGGGTAGGTTTAAAAATGTAGTGTTAGTGTTCAGCAGAAGTTTGTGGTTACAGGAAAGTGGGTGCGGGAGGGAAGAGGAGCGATTGGTGGAATGATGATGTAAAGAGAGTAGTAAGGGAGAAAAAGTTAGCATATGAGAAGTTTTTACAAAGTAGAAGTGAAGCAAGGAGGGAAGAGTATATGGAGAAAATGAGAGGTTAAGAGAGTGGTGAAGCAAGGAGGGAAGAGTATATGGAGAAAATGAGAGGTTAAGAGAGTGGTGAAGCAATGTAAAAAGAGAGCAGATGAGAGAGTGGGTGAGATGTTATCAACAAATTTTGTTGAAAATATGAAAAAGATTTGGAGTGAGATTAGCAAGTTAAGGAAGCCTAGAGAACAAATGGATTTGTCAGTTAAAAATAGGAGAGGAGAGTTATTAAATGGAGAGTTAGAGGCATTGGAAGATGGAGGGAATATTTTGAGAAATTGTTAAATGTTGATGAAGATAGGGAAGCTGTGATTTCGTGTATAGGGCAAGGAGGAATAACATCTTGTAGGAGTGAGGAAGAGCCAGTTGTGAGGGTGGGGGAAGTTCGTGAGGCGGTAGGTAAAATGAAAGCGGGTAAGGCAGCCGGGATGGATGGGATAAAGATAGAAATGTTTAAAGCAGGTGGGGATATAGTTTTGGAGTGGTTGGTGCAATTATTTAATAAATGTATGGAAGAGGGTAAGGTACCTAGGGATTGGCAGACAGCATGCATTGTTCCTTTGTATAAAGGCAAAGGGGACAAAAGAGAGTGCAAAAATTATAGGGGGATAAATCTGTTGAGTATACCTGGTAAAGTGTATAGTAGAGTTATTATTGAAAGAATTAAGAGTAAGACGGAGAATAAGATAGCAGATGAACAAGGAGGGTTTAGGAAAGGTAGGGGGTGTGTGGACCAGGTGTTTACATTGAAACATATAAGTGAACAGTATTTAGATAAGGCTAAAGAGGTTTTTGTGTCATTTATGGATTTGGAAAAGGTGTATGACAGGGTAGATAGGGGGCAATGTATGGTGTAGGAGGTAGGTTACTGAAAGCAGTGAAGAGTTTTTACGAGGATAGTGAGGCTCAAGTTAGAGTATGTAGGAAAGAGGGAGATTATTTCCCAGTAAAAGTAGGCCTTAGACAAGGATGTGTGATGTCACCGTGGTTGTTTAATATATTTATAGATGGGGTTGTAAGAGAAGTAAATGCAAGGGTCTTGGCAAGAGGCGTGGAGTTAAAAGATAAAGAATCATACATAAAGTTGGAGTTGTCACAGTTGCTCTTTGCTGATGACACTGTGCTCTTGGGAGATTATGAAGAGAAGTTGCAGAGATTGGTGGATGAATTTGGTAGGGTATGCAAAAGAAGAAAATTAAAAGTGAATACCGGAAAGAGTAAGGTTATGAGGATAACAAAAAGATTAGGTGATAAAAGATTGGATATCAGATTGTAGGGAGAGAGTATGGAGGAGGTGAATGTATTCAGATATTTGGGAGTGGATGTGTCAGCGGATGGGTCTATGAAAGATAAGGTGAATCATAGAATTGAGGGGAAAAGGGTGAGCGGTGCACTTGGGAATCTGCGGAGACAAAGAACTTTGTCCTTGGAGGCAAAGAGGGGAATGTATGAGAGTATAGTTTTACCAACGCTCTTATATGGGTGTGAAGCATGGGTGATGAATGTTGCAGTGAGGAGAAGGCTGGAGGCAGTGGAGATGTCATGTCTGAGGGCAATGTGTGGTGTGAATATAATGCAGAGAATTCGTAGTTTGGAAGTTAGGAGGAGGTGCGGGATTACCAAAACTGTTGTCCAGAGGGCTGAGGAAGGGTTGTTGAGGTGGTTCGGACATGTAGAGAGAATGGAGCGAAACAGAATGACTTCAAGAGTGTATCAGTCTGTAGTGGAAGGAAGGCGGGGTAGGGGTCGGCCTAGGAAAAGTTGGAGGGAGGGGGTAAAGGAGGTTTTGTGTGTGAGGGGCTTGGACTTCCAGCAGGCATGCATGAACGTGTTTGATAGGCGTGAATGGAGACAAATAGTTTTTAATACTTGACGTGCTGTTGGAGTGTGAGCAAAGTAACATTTATGAAGGGATTCAGGGAAACTGGCAGGCCGGACTTGAGTCCTGGAGATGGGAAGTACGGTGCCTGCACTCTGAAGGGAGGGTGTTAACCCTTTGACTGTCGCGGCCGTATATATACGTTTACGAGGTACCGTGTTTGACGTATACTCATAAATTCTAGCGGCTTCAAATCAGGCAAGAGAAAGCTGGTAGGCCCACATGTGAGAGGATGGGTCTGTGTGGTCAGTGTGCACCATATAAAAAAAATCCTGGAGCACGCAGTGCATAATGAGAAAAAAAAACTCGGACCATTTTTTTTAATTAAAATGCCGACTTTGTGGTCTATTTTCGTATAGTATTTGTGGTTGTATTCTCGTTTTCTTGGTCTCATTTGATAGAATGGAAACTATATTATAGAAATAGAGGTGATTTTGATTAATTTTATTATAAAAAGAACCTGGAAATGGAGCACAAATACGGGAAATGTTTGATTTTTACCGATGTTCAAAAGTAAACAAATGATGTCATTGTCCAATAAATGTCCAAATAGCCATTTTAATATGCAGTCATGAATGGGTTGATGTAATTTTTACAATTATTACAGTATTGCAGTAGTCTGCATAACAGTAAATCTTCTATTTTTTGTTTGAATAAAATTTCAAAATAAAAAGCAAGAGTAATATCACAGGGGCCTGGAGACATGACTGATGAACAAAGAAAATGTTATTTTAGAGCCAGGAATGTCTGCATTGTTCATTCTGGTCCTTATTTTGAAATTGTCATATTTTTTAATTTTCGTGAAATTGGCCAAATTGCAACTTCCTGACCATGTTATTGGGTAGTTGAAATCGGTAAATGGGCAGTTTCTTATACTCAATCGATGGAAAAAATGGAGTTCTGAAGAAATAGCTATGAGTTTGGTTGACTGGAATAATGGAATTAGCCGAAAATAGGGCTCAAAGTGGGCGAAATTGCCGATTTGTAAATATCCCCGAGGTCGCTAACTTCGCGAGAGCGTAATTCCTTCAGTTTCCCATCAAATTTCGTTTTTTTGGTGTCTTTACAATCGGGAAAAGATTCTATATCATTTCATAAGAAAAAATAATTTTTTTCTTTTAAATTTTGCAACACCAGGAGACGCCTCAGGATTGGGGGTTGCGACAGTCAAAGGGTTAATGTTGCAGTTTAAAAACTGTAGTGTAAAGCACCCTTCTGGCAAGACAGTGATGGAGTGAATGATGGTGAAAGTTTTTCTTTTTCGGGCCACCCTGCCTTGGTGGGAATCGGCCCAGTGTGTTAATAAAAAAAAAATACGTCAGAAACAGTGGCGCGTAAGACGTATATATACGGCGTAAACAGTCAGAGGGTTAAGATTTCCCTAAAATGGGGCGTGGTTGTGTCACTGAACTTGTTGCAAAGATGGCTTGTTTCAGCTTGCTCAGGGTGGTACTTCTCCACAAACTTTTGTACATTTTATTTTATTTATTTTGGTTTTGCAAACGGTACATTGAGATTTTATATTTACAATACTGGGTTGCAGTGCAAAGAAAGCCTCTATTATGCCTAGGCATTATGGGCCAACTTAACATTATTGGCTTACAGACTACTTAACACTAAGGATTTTATCATAGTTGTACAGTAGGACAGTAATTATTTCATAGTTGAACAGTAGATTATTAATTATAAGTGAATTAAATTTGTATAAGACGAAGGATGTATTCATATAGTCTAAAATGCTTTTTGTGAAAACAATGGTTCAATTATTATATTCCTGTCAACAGTTTATTTATTTATTTATTTATTTATTTAATTATTTTATTTAATAATTTGAACATACATACAGAGGTACAAAAAAATACAGGTAAGAGCAGCATGCCAAAGCCACTTGTGTGCTTAGCATTACGGGCAGGCTTAAAATTAACTTAAGATTAACTAAGCAATGATGTAATCAGTGATAAAGTGATTGTTGAAGTTATGATGTGGGAGTACATAGGTGAGTATGTGTGTATGTACTGAGTATTTAGCATTTAGTCTAGGGTGATTAAGTGGCTTTTGAGAAGAGTCTTAAACTGATTTTCAGACTGGGTTACTTTAATATCTTCTGGTAATGAATTCCATATTTTAGGGCCCTTTAGGTGCATAGAGTTTTTACACAGTGTGATAAGGACACACTTGGCACAAATCTCCTTAATCTTTGAAGAAGGCACCTCATCCACTCCCTCTTCCTCTGAAGCAAGGTCCTCAGCTGTGGTCTGATAATGTTCCAGATGAAGCTCTTCCAGCTCTTCAGTGGTTAGCTCTTCCCTGTGATTCTCCACCAACTCTTCCACATCCTCACCACTCACCTCCAGCCCCAGGGTGTTCTCCAATGCCACAATAGTGTCCACAACAGGCAGAGGGTCAGCTGGGTCAGGAACAGGGTCAGGGTCAGCCTCAAACCCTTCAAGATCTCTCTTTTCGACACAATCTGGCCACAATTGTCTCCAAGCAGAGTTCAAAGTCCTGGAAGTCACTTCCTCCCAAGCCTTACCTATAAGGCTTATGGAGCTGTAGATATTTGAAGTGATTCCTCCAGAACTCTCTTAGGGTCAACTTAGTGTCTGTGGTCACTTCAAAGCACTTTTCAAACACTGCTTTTGTGTAGTGTGTTTTGAAGTTAGAAATGACCTGCTGGTCCATGGGCTGGAGGAGGGGAGTGGTGTTAGGAGGCAAGAACTGTTAGAAAACTGAAGTCCCTAGACAAGAGGTCTAATAAGTTTGTTTGGAGGATGAGCAGGAGCATTGTCCATTAACAGGAGGCACTTGAGTGGCAAATTATTGTCTAGGAGGTATTTTCTCACACTGGGGCTAAACACTTCATGGACCCACTCTTTGAAAATTTGCCTTGTGACCCATGCCTTATTATTTGCTTTCCACAAGACACATAACTTGTTCTTTATGATATTGTTTTTCTTAAACACACTGGGATTTTCTGAATGATACACCAGTAAAGGCTTTACTTTAAAATCACCACTAGCGTTAGCACAGAATAAAAGAGTTAGCCTGTCTTTCATAGGCTTGTGTCCTGGGAGTGCCTTTTCCTCCTGAGTAATGTAGGTCCTTTTTGGCATTTTCTTCCAAAAGAGGCCTGTTTCATCACAACTGAACACTTGTTGGGGTTTTAATTTTTCAGTGTCTACATAAACCTTAAACTCCTGTACAAACTTCTCAGCCACCCACTTGTCTGAACTGGCTGCCTCACCATGCCTTACAACATTGTGTATGCCACTATGCTTCTTAAATCTGTCAAACCAGCCTCTGCTGGCCTTAAATTCACTATCAGCACTGGTTCCAGGAGTTTTTTGTACCACATCGGCATGCAACTTCCTTGCCTTTTTGCAAATAATGGTCTCTGAAACACTATCACCTGCCATCTCTTTATCCTTGATCCACACCAGCAACAACTTCTCAACCTGATCGATTGTCTGTGGTCTTTTTTTGGTTAGCATATTAACACCTTTCACAACATCAGCTTCCTTGATGTGTTCTTTCTTTGCCAGGATAGAACCGATGGTCGACTTGTTTTTCCCATACATCCTGGCAAGCTCAACAAGTCTCACACCACTCTCATACTTCTGTATTATTTCCTTCTTCACATCTATGGTGTTTCTCACTTTCTTTACCACAGGGGTACCATCTTTACCACAGGGGTACCACTAGCAAGTTTCATTGGGCCTATGGTAGCTTATTTCACAGTCCCACAAGCACTAAACACAATGAAATAATCATAAAATGTTTGAATGAGAGTGCAGGTTAGTGTTCACTCAAGTATCAACAAAACCAGACTGGCTCACGGCACCTGCGCGGGGACGTGGACAGAGCGGGCTGCTGGACAGGTCCAGTGTCCGGCGGATCGATAATAGGGACAAAGTTGGTTCGATATGTGATAAGTTCGAAATTTGAGGTTCCACTGTATTGATATAGAATAACAAGAAGTTAATGAAACGCCTGAAGTGAAGAGTTTTACCAATCTGTGGCTTTTCATTTCAGTAGAGCTTATTAACTGGAAACAGCATATTCCTTTCTCAGAAGTGGGAAACATGAACATGTGTGACCCCTCAAAACACTAGTACGTGGAACCTCGGTTTTCTTTTGCCCTGGTTTTTGTTGAATTCAGTTTATGACTACTTTTTTCATCCAAATTTTGTCCCAGTTTTCGTTCATCCCCTCAGTTTTTGTTGAGTTGCAGTGGTCTGGTGGACCAAACATGTCCGCCTGTGCCCACACAAAGCATCCCATGCATTCTGAGTCAGTCTGACTTTGTTTCTTGTCGGTAGAGGGTGGTAGTGATGGCGGTAGAGGGTGGTAGTGATGGTAGTAGAGGGTGGTAGTGATACGCCAACAAGAGTCTTCCATAAAGGGAAAAGTGATGTTAAATGTTCATTAATCCATTTCATTAGTCCTTTATATTTATTTCTCATTGTTTTCTGTATGTAAAACTATAGTTATTCTGTGTAAAATGTATGTTTTTGTTAATACTTTTGGGTGTCTGGAGCGGATTAACCCTTTCAGGGTCCGTCCCATAGATCTATGGCTTCACATTGAGTGTCCAAACCATAGATCTACGCCAAAATTCTAGCGCTGTCAAATTTAGCGTGAAAACACTCATAGGCCTACATGTGAGAATGGGTCTGCGTGGTGGGTGTGCGCCAGAAACAAAAAATCTAGGCGCCCGCATAGCATTGTGGGAACACCGGCTCAGTTACCCTTGTTCACCATGCCTCGTCGCAAGGCAGCTCTCACTCCAAGGAAAATTGGGACTCTCCTGTTCCTATCTGATAGTTCTGACAGTGATCAGGATATCGATAATAGGTCAGAAAACCCTGATGATCCTCAACCTTCTACCTCTGGTGTGGGCACTCGTCAGTCACAGTCAGTTGTACCTCAACGAAAGAGAAAACTATTATTTTCGCGTGGCCAGGCCTCTAACTTCAGTAAGGATGATGATAGTGATGTGGATTGTGATTTTATTGCTCTTGACGATCATTTGAGTAGTGATAGTGAGGAATCATATTCACCAGTGAAGCGTCAGTATGTACACCGCCGCATGCGCTCGGGTAGTGTACCCTATGCCGTGCCCAGGGAACGGAGTACATCCCGTGGCCCTACACCAGGTATAGATAGTGATAGTGAGGATGATGTGGCTACACTTGGCATGGATAAACCACAGGCATCACTAGATGGTGGTAGCGGTGATGGTAGTGCCACGGCCATGCGTGACTCACCAGCCCAGGCTGGGACCCACGCTGCTGACTCCGCAGTTCAAAGACAAAGCAGAGCGTCAGCCACCAGCCCACCACAACCACAACTACCCACACAACCAGCCTATGATGTCCAGTATCCACCAGCAAACCGTATCTGGGATTGGCAGCAAAATCCCAATTTTGTTCCCAAGCCCCACCACTTTGATGACTCTGAAAGTGGAATTCTACCAACTTGTCCCCTTGGAAACACTGCAAATGAACTGGAATTCTTTGAATTATTCTTTGACCAGCCATTGATGGAAACTATTGTCAGGGAAAGTAATAAGGACAGTGGTCCCTCGTTGTTCGTAATTAATCCGTTCCTGGAGCCGTTACTATAAACGAAATTTACGATTTACGAATCAATTTTCCCCATAAGAAATAATGTAAATACAATTAATCCGTTCCTGACACCCAGAAGTATTAAAACAAAAAAAATTTTAACATGAAATACAGTATACATGTAGTACATAAACAATACAATGGGAAATGATGAATGAAACATTAACAGCATAACACTTACCTTTATTG